GAAATGTATTCAAATGCAAATTGTGAAAGAGAAAGAACCAAATTTAATTTGCGAATCCTTTCAAGAGGATTACTGAAAGTTGGCTTTGTGCGCTGGGCTTATTGATTGCTAATAAATTGTTTTCAAGCGCATTTAACTTTAAGCTCCGCCAACTTTTGCCGTTGCAGCCAATGTGGGCCAATGGGCCGGTCCATTGTTCAGCTGATAACTGTATATATATATACCATGAGCTTGACGCAATTTTATCTTATTTGTTTTTGTTCTATAATGCAGTTTCTGTCTGCTGTCATGCTCAAGGACTACAAGAAGGCTTTAAAATATTGCAAATTGAGTGAGTGAGCAATTCCTTAACCCCCTCCCTCCATAGGTCTATTCAACTGAGTATCCTACTTCTTTCAGTACTGCAATATGAGCCAAACAATGCCACGGCCAAAGAGTTCTATCCACTCATACTGGACAAGCTGCGTGGTAGGTCTCTTTAGACATATATGGTTATAGTAGTTTGAGTTAATTAATCGCGTATTTCGCAGTGGCCGCATCGAGCGACAGCGACGAGAACTATAATAAATCTTCATCGCCTGAGCTGGCATTGGATTTGGAGGCGCCGTGCGAGGATAGCGCCAGCAGCCAAGAGGAGGACAATGATGATGATGTCGATGATGTGGACGACTGCGATGATGTGGATGACGATGAGGATGACGACGATGACATTGACAATGTCGATGTGGAGGAGGAGAGCAGCAGCAGCGGCGATGATTACGAATTACCTATTGATGAGCAACAGGACCCGGCTGCTGCAGACAGCCTCGCTGCGCATATAACTCATTCGCATTCACATTCACATTCACATTCGCATTGTCACTCCCACAACGATTCGGGCTCATCGCGCAATTCGTCRAGCGGCGGCGGCGGTCGCAGCGACAATACCACACACTCGTACTCCAGCCTGCTGCTGGAGGAGGAGGACGACATTGTGCCAGTCAATTTGCAGTTTGGCAACAAGGAGCCGAACGCAACAGATTTGGATGTGAGCAATGGTAGGTGCCAACTGCATAATTTACAAATTATTACCAATACATCAATCTATATATACGATAGGCAACAAGGTGGCATCGGCTTCATGCAGCGATTCGGAGTCCCCCACAGAGCCGCTCACCCAACGTTTGGCAGCCATTTTACGCTCCAAGTGCGGCGTTTCGGCCAGTAAGGATTGAACAACTAACATATGCATATACCCCTTATACATATACAAGTGTATGTGTGTATACCTACATATATATATCTTTATACACATATATATATATGCATAACTATATTCTTGTACTTCTACTCGTACTCAATGAGCTAAGTGTTTACAATTCCTTTGCCCAAACTAAGTAACTAGTTTCCACTAGTTGACATTCGCTTTACGAACCTAGAAACCGTCCCAAAACAGCATACAAGTATATTTCCAATTTGCATATAACTATAGCAGCGATTTATCCTTTTTTGAAAAGCAAAGCAAAACAAGACAAAACACAAAACCAATTCCCTAGACAAACATATCGTACAAACTTAATAAGTACTTAAAGTAGTCACATTTGTATTGTGTATGTAAATGAATAATATAACCTAGATAATAATATGCTCCATTTGTTAAAGAGCCCTCAATAATAATGAATATACTATTATATACATATATACACACATATATATATATATACATTTATTATACATAGAAACATAACGAATGATGTAACAGAATCTATTTTAGTAAGAGACACACCCATGCAAAACGCACAGGACTTGGAATATTGTTGGATAACTTTACACGTTTAGCGTTTTATAGAGGGCGATTTTTTTTCCAAACCATTTATAATATAGTATTACAAATTAAGGCAACGGAACGTTTGGATAAGTCTGATAATATGGAATGAGGCAAATGGAACTACAATTGAAATGGTCCAAAAGTCATTAACTATACTTATATACGATTATATACGAATACCATATACTTATATAATTCGTACGCGATTTTAGTAATTTATTAAGATTGATTTTTCTCAGTATACGTAAAATTTCCGATATAACCATATAACTATAGATATGTAACTTATAAAGCCCGCTCTACGAGCTTTACAAACTATACTCTATACTTTTGTTTGTGGAATGAGATTTGATAAGATTGAACTCTCTGTATATCCTCAATATTTGTAATAATTATTTTCGGTGTTTGAAATTCAGTTCTGATTCAATTGTATGTAATCATATTATATTCGAATTGAATTATACGTATAACGGATTGTATCATTAAAAGTTGTAATAAAGAAAGAAGGCGAACAATTGCAGCGTTTTAAACTTCTTAAATTGAGAATTTTCAAGAATTTATATGTGAAGATGAAAATGATGCTCATACTTATATTTACTTCACTGCAAGTGATCTACATCACTTTCAAATCACACACACACACATAAACACGATCAGGCAGACTTAAATCCATATTCAACCTCATCTTTAAAATTGTCTTCGCAGCATTGTTGACCTCTCCCTTATTATGCGAAATTATTTTAAAGCCTACAATCGCCTTATGCAAAAAGAAACTTAAACTGACCAATTGAAACTTCTTTGCTTACGCCATCATTAAAACCGGACTCAAATTATTACAACCAATGACGTGAGCATTGTGTAAACATGTATTACCTGTCTCGCTCTTTGTTTCTACTGCAAACGGTGCCTGCAGTCCATACTTTCATCATTAAGGTAACGGGATCAAAAAAAATGCAACCAATGATGTGCGCGCTGTTTACATACGAACATACTCTCTCTCTCCCTCTCTCTTATCTGCCTAAAGGCCTCTGTAAAGCATAACTTTAATGGTTGCCAAAGTAGCCAATAGTAGATGAAGCCAAAGTAAATGAAGAAATTAAGTTCCACGGCAACAAAATCCACAGCATCCACTTTCAGCTCTGTATGGTTATTTATATAGTAAGAATAATTAGAAATACACAAAATGATATAGGCCATATAATACATTTCAAACGTTTGAAAAGATTTATTTTAAATCGATTATTATCAAAGAAACTTTTTATGTCAGTATATAATTATTATAACATGACTTGCAATTGAATAACGTATTTATGTACCGTAAGTCTCTTCGTTTATTTTCGGCAATTTTTTTTTTTTTCGTTTATTTTACTTATAAAACTTTAAACGTATTATGATCGTTTTTAAAAAACACTTATGATTTATTTTCATTTGTATGATTCATGATAATCAAGACTATTTTCACTGTGCTGGACAGCCAGTTGCATGGTTATTGTGAACGCCAGTTGGACTGCTTGTATAACTGTATCAAAAGAGTTTGTCTTGAAAATCGATAATACAAAAAAGTCTTCAAAATTGTATCTATGTATCTCAACTATTTCAGTGCTGAAATATATATGTATATATATGTTTAACTTCCATGCCCCACTATATGGGTATCTGATCTGTAACAAACTACTGTGATGATTTATGAGTTCTTTTTTTTTTTTTTTTTTTTTGTTTTTTTTTTTTTTTATTGCATTCTCAATTTGAATACTGCTCTTGCATTTGCTTGATATAATACTTATGTATTTGATTCCAACCACTTGAAAAATTATTGTTTCTATATATTATCAGCACCATTCAACTAAAACTGTACCAAAAACATACAAAGAAATAAGTCAAGTCATAACAAAATTATTTCTATTATCATGTTGCGTTATAAATAATGTTGCTCAGAATTAAAAATCAGGTAATGAAGCTTTGTTTGTATCGTAAATTGCACGTATTTGTTCTGTTCTGTTCTGTTCTCTGAATACCGTATACGCATATACGGTATATGTTTAATTGAATCCTCGCCGCTAATCGAATTAGATATTTATATATATTTATTTAAAGACAAAGAAACGATAATTGTGTTTTCTCGAATATTTGCATACTCTAACTTAAAGTTACACACATCTATGTTTTTTTGAAAATATGTTGATGATTCTTTTCCCATGGTTATTAACAATCATTGTGAAACATTATTTGTTTTTGCTACTCTTCAACTCTTTTATCCAATTATATATCGTATATATATGTGCCTTAACATTACATCTAAATCTGTCCGAGACATGCAAATATGTACATTAATTTTGTGGACTCAACAATATTAAATTAGTATGTGTATCCTTTTTACTGAACTCTTCAAGTCAGGGTGCTTTAGAAGTCGGCTAAGTCTGCGTGAATATGTTTATCGTAGAGTATATCGTATATGCACTTAATTGTTACATTCAATAAAAAGAAACTTTCATTTGAAAACTTCAGGTGTTTCTTGTACTGTTCAGAAATATTACATATGCGTATGTATGTCTGTGTGTGTATTTATACTTGTCTATGCTATAGCATGTTTGTGTGTATTAGTGCGAATAGAGGTAAACGATATAATAGCACTACAACAATAAAAACAAATGCGAAAAATAAAAAGATAATCTTCATACTGCAGCTTACACAAAATATTTAAAGTATTTATTTAAAATACAACATTAATGCAAAAATAAAAGATTACGTTTACAAAAATAAAACTAAACGTAATTTATAATTAAACTTAACAGGTAGATACACCTACTAGACTTAAACGAAAGTACATACAGCAGCCGAACTGGCTTGGCAAATAATTCAACAGCTTACAGACTTACAGGAAAATGAAATAAAGATCTGGGCAATAATTAAACAAACTAAAAACGAAAAACAATTAAATTTACGTAATGTGTTTATAGGTATCAGTCGATGAAGATTATGTGAGATGAGCTACAAACATAATCATGCAATGTGTGTGGAGAGAATTTCGCATTTCGAAACTTAGCCCAGGCTATAGATACAATTTTAAAATTCCAATTAATCTCTCTGGTGTAGCCCACATATATTAACGCTTTGTTCTGTTCTTAGCTTACACTAAGCTAATGTCTAAGGGGCGCAGGGCGGGCGCAGGGGCTTTTGTGTATCTATATATATATATGTATATATAAATGGCAGCTGCCGAATTGCAGATCGTTAATCGCTAATCGCTGCTTTTCTCTGTGTATGTCTGTGCGCATAATGGCTATGCACAATACTACAGTAAAACTAAAGTGTTGAATATATATATCAAAATTAAAAAGAACGAATTCTAATGTTCGTGGCTATCAAATCACAGCCTGGTCGAGTCGGCTGTGATTTAGTACCGCTTCTATAAACAATTTGTGGTCTCCTTTGCATCCTCGATGTTGGTGTGGTTCTTGATGAGCAACTGTGTGGTTGGATATTTGTTGAGCTGCGCAAACCGTTCCATTACACAGGAGGAGCTGAGACGTGCCTCGGCATCGTGATCCCAGCACTCTTCCATCGTGTCGCAGAATATGCTGAGACCCTGCAGATACGTTTGCTTTTAGCATGACGAAATACAATCAAGTATGTAAATATTATCTTACCATATGGGAGCGCCAGGAGTTAAGCAAATGTGGACGCAATTTCTTCATCACCACGCTCTCCTGCACTTCATCCAGCGTGGGCCGCTGTCCAAGCTCCGCTTCGAATGGCAGCTGGTATTCGCCCACGGGACCCACAACATCGCAGCGTGAGACCATTTCCCACAACACCAATCCGCAGGCGTAGACATCGATGCGCAAAAAGGCATCACGATTGAAGTTAATGGCACCCTCGAGAACCTCAGGCGCCATATAGCGTCGAGTGCCCACCTGGCCGTGTGTATCGCCGCACGGTTTGCCCGGCTGAAAAATCATGGCTAGTCCAAAGTCAGCTATGCAGGCTGTGAGGTCACCCTTGAGCAGCACATTCTTCGACTTAAAGTCACGATGGGCTATCGAGGGCTTCAGGCCTTCCGTCTTGCTAGCCGGTATCTCCTCGTGTAAATGCGCCAGGCCATTGGCCATCGATTCGGCAATGCGGCACAACTCCGTCCAGGTAATCGTATGGGACTTCAGATAGTCGCACAGAGAGCCATTATGCTGATATGTGGATATCAGCCAATACTCGGGCTTATCCAAGTGCTTCTCCACGCCCAAGAACTCTAAGATGTTGGGATGGCGCATGCGCGGCAGTTTATATATCTCGTTCTCCGTGGTCCACGAGTCCTTCTCCTGCATGCGAAAGATTTTCACGGCCACGTCCTGGCCGTGCAGCTTCGCCTGCCACACGTCGCCAAATCGCCCGCTGGCCTTCTGCTCCAGCAGTTGTATGGGCCGGTTGTTCAGCAGCGGCGATGAGTTCGTGATTTCCGCCTCGTGCTAAAAGGGAAATCAAATAGTATCATAAAGTTGTGCGAACAGGTGAACAAAGGCAACTGCGACGTACCTTGGGTATCTCGTTGAAATGCACTCGTTTGAGACGTCGGTAGGAGAAGAAACTGACCACAGGCACGACCATCAGGACGGCCAGCACCGACGACCACAATATGTAGAAGTTCACATTATTCTCGTCCTGCGTCTTCTCTTTGGGCACTGCAAACAAATAATTAGAAACCTTATTGTATGGCCGCTTGCATATGTGTAAATTATGAATTGCATATGCATGAGGCGCCCTTTAAATGCTCGCCACAGGTGAACAACATCTCAAGTGGCACCTGTAGTTGGCACAGAGGGCCGACAGTCAGGCCCACAAGCGAAGCGGTAAAAAAGGAAAAAACGAAAGTTCGCCCCCAATTTGACATCTCTTTGTATATATAAAATTTATATGCTGAGATAAAAGGGAGCTAGGCAGAAAAAGAGGAAAACAAAAACAAAATAACAAAGTGCAAGAGGCACGCCACAAAAGATACATGCCAAAGAAAATGCAAAGCCAGCCACACAAAACAAAAATGGGGGGAAATACAGCAACAAGAACGGAGAACGCAGCACGGCGAAGGGCGTACGGCGTAGCATAGGGAAATTGCAACACACGCGCCAAGCTTATGAGGCTGTATGCTGGAAGCTGAGAGGGAACGCCAGCGCGTGCACAGAGTTCGTTAACATGAAATAAAGTCGCAGGGGTCGCCTCAATTGGGGGTTGAGCGAGTGTACATAGAATAAATATGTAATGCTTGAAATTGGGGTAAACATCGCAGGCACCTGAAAAAAATCCGAAACGAAAATATAAAATTAATTATAGAATCGGTCGCACCTTGTGTTGTTGCCTCCGTGGTGGGCGGTATCCAGTTGTACTCGTTGTTGCACATCGAGCCCTTGCAGCAGCAGAAATGTATGTTGCCCTGCCGCGGCTTGCTGCTGGTGTTGCAGGCGGTCTGGTTGCACTCGTGCATGTACGTGAAGCAGCCCTTCATTTTGATTTTCTTGATGCCTGCAGTCAGCAAAATACAAAAATCAAACAAACAAACAAAAATTAAACAAAATAATCATCGAAAAGTGCTGCATTGCTGCAAGAAGTACACACCAGTCACTTCGTCGGCGCTCCACAGAACGTAGCAGCTGGGAGATTTGTCCGCCTCCACCTGGCAGCGCTCGATGGTGATGGAGCAGTCGTTGTGCGTGGTGCAATCCTTCTCGTCATAGTGTTCGCAGTTGATGTTGTGGCCCTCGGGCAAGACGGCACCTCTAGCCGCAGGCAGCAGCAGCAGATGGCAGGCTATAAAAAATAAATAAATAAATAAATAAATACATAAATGAAATGTATGTAATGAGAGGTGATGTATTTAAATGGCAGGCATTCTGGAATAGTAAATAAGTTGACTTAAACGGACTCCAGCGGCTGCCTTTGTAAACATATCACGTATCTACGACCTAAGGACCAACGACCCCAATTCGAATCCCAATCCCAACGGGCCAGGAGCTATGGGGAGTCACTCCTCAATGAGCGTTGCCATTGAAAGCCAAGCGCAGAACTTTCCATAGTCCCCAGCGAATGCTACGCAACCCCAATTCGTGCAGAGGGCCATACAAAATTAGCTCCACTGGCCACCCGAGCCTTTGAGTGGTTCCTATAACCCCAATGCAAATGCAAATGCAACTGCTGCTCCGTGTCTGTCTCTGCGTTGGGGCTAAATGTATGTATGTATGTGTGTGTGCATGATTCGCGCGCAAATCCACGTGTGAGTGCAGATTTACCATGGCGCACAGTGGTGCACATATCAAACATTCATTTATATTGAATTTTTTAGAAAAACTTAACAATTTTATCAGCTGTTATTAATTTACAAACGAATTCTTTCACTCTATATTTTTAAATTTCATTGATTTAAAAGAATACTCTGTCCATATTTTTTAATTTAATTTAATAAAATATATACATTATATATATTTTTTAGATATTATAAAATTTTTTCTAGATTTAAAAAATTGTGTTTTTGAAGAACTTTTATACAACACAAAACTTTCAATTTGAGCATATTCATTAGCATATATAAATTAACATCAATTAAACATATTTAGCCCCACTGTAAACGAGTAATCGGATCTCTCAAAGTGTTGTGCATGTATGTATGTATGTATGCATGGGAGCATGCTTTATAGTAAAGTAGATACATAAGCATGCACATTATGCAGATTGAAAAGGGATGAGTTTAAAGTGGCGCTTGTTGAAAATAAAGAAACAACGGCTACAGCAACAGCAACAACAGCGAGTAAAGAGAACTCACTGAAGCGAGAGAGTAAAACAGATTTTCACCCACGCGGACGCACAAACAACAAGTTTCTAATGCAACGTCATCCATTCAAAGAAATCACTAAATGCACACACACATACACACACACGCTTTTAGATTACAACTGTAGTTGAAAATAAGAGCAAAGCGCACTAAGAACAACTACAAAGCACGCGCCAAGCAATTCAATCAGGCGTAACAGAGGGCAAGTGTACCAAGGAAACTGTAAATAATATCGACAGCAAACCATTACGTACAAACAAAATGAAAAGCACACACACACAAGTTATATGCAGACACACCATACGTATATACATATGTATGTATAAGTAAAACTATGTTCAATACATACCAAGAATTAGCTGCGCCACTAGATAAAGCACAAAATTGTACCTAGACATTGTTATTGCGTTATCGCTGTAACTTGTTTACAGCACTAAATGGATACGTAACTAAATACACGAGCGATATTTGGAGAATTTTTGTTTTTATTTTGGCACATAGAAAATTTTCTTTGAGAAAATTGCGTTTTACATTCGATTTATTCAATATAAACTTGTTGGCATTACAGGCTTGTTGGCTGACTGTGTTCGTTGCACTTTTTAATCCAAGAAATTAATATTTGATAATATGTATGCACTTATGTATATATTATGTATATACATATGTATGAAGCGGTGTGCGTGTTTGTATGTAATTTATTTTCTGCTGCAGCAGTCGCAGCCAAGTTGCGGACCACACGTTTTTTCCATGTACATTTTCACGATTTCGATTTGCATTATCATTAACTTTGCTATCACATTTTCTCGTGTGGCACTTTAAATGCGTTTCTAAGCTGCATTTTATGGTTTTCATAAATTATTATTACGCGATTTATTCATTTGCACGCAGTTCCCACTCGCAATTACGATTGTCAAAATTGGTACAAGTGTACCAAAACTGTAGACATTTACCAGCACATATTTGAGTGCGGTAGCCCTGGGGCAACAATTTTAGATATACTAAAATGGTATTGGTACAAGCGTTGTATAGCTGAAACGGTTTACCAGCACTAATTTTTTAAAACAGTGCAGCGTCGATAAATATTCAAATTTAGTAGAGAATTAATTTTAGGGAATTTTTTAATTTATACGGGCACACTTGTGGTGTAGTATAAATACGTTGGAAAACAAATGATTTCATAAAAATATAAATGGCTTTCATAGGTGCTTAATAGCAAAATAATTTCCCAGAATAGTTTACCCTTTGAGCACACATACAATAAAAACCCGCATGCAATTTTTCTGAAATAGTGATGATCGCAGCAGATGACGTGTTGAATGTCACGTTCTGTGATAGTTTATCTCACCAATCTACTGATTAGATATAACAATAATACAAATACGTTTGTTTACAAATATTATATACAATAATGAATAATTTTCTTAGATTAGCATCACTTGGATCCGTCCAGTTTGGTCAAGCCATCGGCATACTGGAACTCCGGGCTGTTCTCGTACTCGCACATGTCCAGGGCGATGACGCAGCTTTCCTTTACGACCCGTTTGTCATCATCCGAGTAACGATTTAAAATCTGAATGCATTCCTCTGTGGCGATGGCACCCAGTGCCTCGGCGCACTCGTGGCGAACCATTTCATTCTCATGGCGATCTTCGAGGTTCTCCTGTAGATAGGGAATGCTGCACGGATCCTGGAGCTGGCCCAGCACAAATGCAACCTCGTGCCGGAACAGCGCAGACTTGTCCTTAAGTCCTTCAGAAATAGCCAAAACACTCTCCTCTGTACGTAAATTCCGCAAGCTGAACATCGCTCGATAGCGGTCGAAAAGACTTTGATTCGCATCCAGATAGATTGCCTTTAATTCCTGCACGCTTTTTGTACCTGCTGCTGGCGGCGATGGATCCACTGATGCATATGGATTGTTGTCATTCACTTGCTGACCAGTCTGCAGCCAGCGCACACGATCCAGGGCAATAGCACAGGTCTCGGCAACCTCAATTACTGGATCCTCTTTGTATTTCTCGAGTATGGGCACAACATCTGGGTGACCGATGGCGCCTAATGCTTCGGCAGCCTCATGACGTACCATGGGCTCCTGACTTATGTCCTGTAGCACTTTGGTTAATGTTTCTACGGCTTGAGTATCCTGCATTTGTCCCAAACAATATGCCAATTCGTGTTTAAGCAATGCAGAATCATCATCAAATGCTTTGCTGATTGCTTCAATGGCAGTGCCGCCGCCGATGTTTTTCAATGTAAAGAGTGCACGAAAACGCTCCTTAAGGGGCCGTTCTTTATTGTTCAATACTCCACCAATTGCTTTGATCTGTTCCTGGGACACCATGTCTACTTTGTGTGATTAATTAAATGTAAATAACGAGCCGCCGCCTGCCTCGTGGAAATTTGACAATTGTATTAACGATAAGAAATTTATCGGAGCTATCTGCTAACCACCACAATAACATCGTCTACTTTCCAGCACTGGCGAAAAGGCCGCCATAGAAGGTTGCTGTACAACACTCACATTTTAGAAGAAGCAAATAGTCCAGTTGTTGGGTTACGTTTATCTTTGGCTCGTAAAGAAAACGTTAAAAAAGTGTAATATTCAACGAATTTTCTGTCGAAAATTCTAGAAAACCATAATTGTGTATACACCGGTGCTAAAGTCGATAAGTGAAACCGTTGATTTTTGTGCAAAATAACATAAATTTGCATTTAAAAATTTTGCGCGTTCAGCGTGGCGTGTGTATGTATATATGTGTGCGTAATATACCTGCTAGTTGCTTTATATCGCTGTCCCAGTGCGAAAGGAGAGCAGAAGAGAGAACTCGCTACTTTAAAGCAAAGCGTTGCAACTGAACGAAAACATTGCAAAATACAATTCATTGTATTTTGTAAGCAATATTAATACTAATACCAACGTCAAAATGTCTGACGAGACCAGCATACAAAAACCGGAAGGAGAGACGGTTACCGAAACCAAATCCAACATCGATGAAGATGCAACAATTCAGCCGGCAGTGGATGAGAAGAAGACACCCGTAAGTGTTTAGAAATATGTAAGAAATGACATACATGGATACATACTACATGCAAACTTGCATGGTTGTGTGTGTGTGTTTAGGCACAGTCACAATTAACACCGGGGGTCGTGCGATAAGAGCGCGCTTTAGATGTAACATACTCGCGCATTGTGACGAACGGAATTATCTGGAAGAGCGGGGGCATTGTATGTATTTAGGTGACTGTATTGAACCCATAAGCAGAATTTTTCCAAAACATATCGAAAAACGCAAAACAGATACCAGCACATTTTGAAGTACATATGTGAAATGTGAAATGTTCTGTGTTGTTTTTTTCACTTTACGTTCGCTCTTTCGTGTTGATGTTAATTTGTTGCCCTCGTGTGCGCGCGCTTTTCCCAACATCCCCCGTTGCGTGTGTGTGTATACACATATTCTGAACGACGGTTGTGTGTGTGTATTTATTTTTGTATGTCGCGTGGTACACTCGCTACAGGCAATCGGTAGTCTCTTTTGTGCACGTTTTGCCGCTGCGCGCGTCTGTCTCGTTCTCGTTTGTTTTTATTTTTCTTGTTCTCTTTTGGACTTTTTGTTGTTTGCTGTACTTTGTCATACATGAATATGTATGTATACATGTGCACATGTACATGTGCAGGCGTGTATGTGCATTCAACGTTGCGCTTGAGAATGGGCATTTATTTACCGTTTAATATCAATGCTGCGAGTTGAATAGACGGGTTAATGATTTCTTGCATTTAAATCCAGTTGAAATCTCTTATTGAGAGATGTACGTGTATAAGTCGTGCAATATTTTGATGTGTATGTAAACAATCATTGTAGAAACGTACGCCAAAGCGACGCTCATTCATTGAGCGCGCTCAACGCGAGAGTGAGGAGTTGGTGCGGACAATGGGCGGCACCTTAGAGCTGGAGGGTGGACGGCGTACTCGATCCAGTACACGTGGTACTCCGACAAGAAGCGCTGATACCGTTACACCGCCTCCAAGTAAAAAGGCTCGCACATCGCCAGCGATCGCTAAGAGCGGAGGACGGGGACGAGGTGCTCGAAAGCTGGATGTTGGCGGCGATGAAGAAGTTGAACAAGAGACAACAAAAGCCAAGCCAGTAACTGTGGAAAAGGTGGAGGTGGAAGAGAAGGCTCAAGCAAGCAAAACTACTAAAGCAAACGTAAGTTAATGAGCTTTATGTGATTTTTTGTCATCTAATTTTAAATTATGAATTCAAGGCCACTGCGAAGAAAGGAAAGAAGGAAGAAAAGGAACAAAAACAGAAGGCAGCTGACGCGAAAGACAAAAAGGATACCAAGGACACAGAGGATTCCGAAACAAAGGCTACAGAAACGAATGAACCTGCGTCAAAGACCACCGAAAGTAAGGATCAGCCTGATTCCGCTGCCCAGGAGCCTGCCCCACAAGAAGAAAAACAAAACAACATTGTTCACGATAAATCAGACGCAAAAGAACCCGAAACAAAGGAAAAAACACCCGAGCCGTCGACAACTGAGGAGGAACCAGCTAAAGTTGAAAGCCCACCAAAGAGTGATGCGACAGCTGCTGCTCCTGTTTCTGAGTCACCCATGGAAGTGGATGACGAGAAAGAACAATCAAAAACGGATCAGACTACCGCTGATGCAACATCCTCCGACATTTCTACACCTGCTGACATCACAGAATCAGTAGATACAAAGAAGGACTCAGCAGAGTCGCAAGAAAGTGAGAGCAGTGGGGAGCCGAAACCCGAAACCACCGAAACTGCTGAGCCCGCCAAGCAGCAAACACCGGAACCCATGGAAGTAGACTCAAGTTCGAAAGCCAGCACTGAATCTGCCAGGCCCATATCACCCGTCAAAGAAGTTGCCCCAGCAGCAGCCGCTGTCGAAAACAGCGACAAACCTAAAGCGACCGAAGTGGCAACAAGCAATAACAAAGTCGTTGAATTGGCCACCGAAGCCAAAGAGGATGCTCCAGTCCTTCCAGAAAAGGAGGCACAAGCAAGCGAAGTCGAAAGTTCATCAGCAGAGAACAATACAACCAAAGCTGATGAAGCTCCCGCCAGCAATGATGTGAGCAAGCTGGCTGCGCCAGTTGCCCCAATCGAAGTCCCATTAACGGAGGCGCCAGCCGCACCCGCCAAGGAGACAAACTGCGACAACAAGTCCGAGCACAATGACAATGGTATATAAATATATTTAATTTTAATATCTAGAACATTTTAATGAGAGTTAAACTTGTTGCAGGTGAACCGAAGATCGTTAACAATGCCAGCGAAGATGGCGAGAACCATGTGACGCCGCAGGCCTGCAATTAAGCAGCACCATAATTATAATAATAATAATGATGATGATGATGATGATGAAAACCAATAACTAAAGTTTAAAGCCGAATATGTACAAGTGTTGCTTCGGCTCATTTCGACAAGCCAACAAATATGCAAATCACGACGAGTTTTTCGTATATCTACTACGTCACGCGCCTAACGCCTAACCAGGGATAAATTCTGTTTCCATTGTTAAGATTTTTCTTTTTATTCTCAAGCCACAAAATCGTACGCGATTGCAATTCACTAAACATCTTCCAGTCTTTGGCTGTAATCGGCGCTGGACTTTCAATGCTGTTTTGTGTGAGCAATATAGACTAACAATAACACATCCACAGCAAATAGAAACTATCACGTAGCCCTAACCCGCCAATCTAACCACACACACACACACAAGCCCAACCCCACACACACACAAATTGTTAAAAGCAATCAACTATAAATAATATGTATGTGTAAAATTAATTAAATCGGAAACAAAAGAAATACATTATTAAGAAATGTATGTAAAATAGATGTTTTTAAATTTTAAGACATAATCTATAATACGATTCTAACTTTAACAAACCCATTTGGATAACACTCAAAACCCAAGGAAAGATTTTTAACAGCTGATGCGTCATTCAAGAAATTAAATACATTTAGATATATACCTATATCTATGTCTTATAACTTTACGAATGCCATTCACCCCTGGCTATTAACAACAAATCCTTTTTTTTTGTATTTTTAATTTCAATATAATTTTTCTTATTTTGAAGTTGCTCACATTTAGCATATAGCTATTAAAATTTTGTCATTTAATTTTACCTGACAAAAAAATTGTATCAAACAACGCATCAATTGTATTCTGCATAGACATTGCAACATGAAAATCTTTTCCAGGCAATCTTAACTAAATTACGAATAGTACTGTACAATTTTTCAATGAAAAATTCGAAAAACAAAACACAAAAAAACTAAAAAAAAAAAAAAAAAACCTCACACACAAGAGCGTAAAATACTTTGGAACTCTTTTTTATAACTGAAATAATCAGTCGAAACAGTTTTTGTATGTAGCTGGATACTTTCTGTATAAGGAATTCTTCATTTAAATATTCTTTTGTAAATAAATCGTTTAAAAATACAAAAGAGACATAACATTGTGTATTAACTTAGTTCGTAAATAACAATTCTGCGTTTTCATGTGGCCCTTTGGTTGGGGATTCTTTCAATGGAACCTCCTCCAGCTCCACTTCCGCTTCAGACACATTCAACATATTGCGTACAAAYGGCGAATAKAGTTTGGGATTCAGCTTMTCGYTCTTATCCGGACGCCAGATATAGCTTAAGGGCACGGCACACACGAAKATCAGGATTGCGCCTATCATTTTGTACCAATAGAAAGATATATCGAAGATTGAAAACTCCCGATTGCTGTCAAAGGCTGTTGTCACATTCACAGGCAATGGTATTGCTGTTGCTGTTGCTGGTGTAGTTGTTGTGTGATTTCTGTGGAAGACCTTTCAGCATGTGTGTATATATTCTTATAGGAAGGTCATGAAACATACATGGCTGCAAGAATTGCATGGAAGCCTCGMGCCTCGCACTGATCCAAGCTGTTTGGGAGCACCTCGTACTTAATGAGTCCCGCCTTGATGTTCATCATTGCATTGATGATGAGCCAGAGCATGGTCAGCACACTGAATATGATGCTGGTCATTGCCACCTTCCCATTGACACGGGGCACAAACATGCCCAGCAGGAAGACGCCCACAACGGCGCCCGTATTGATGCCCGTTACGGTCCACATGGTCTGCAGRATGGAGTTGAAGTGCTGCACAATGATGCCTCCCAAAATGCAGTAGACGCCCATGGCAACCACGACCAGCTTCATGCATCCATTGGCCCGCGCTTCYGTATGCCGTATGTGCGGCTTGATGTAGTCGAAGTAGACGACGCCAGCGAGCGAGTTGAGATTGGCCGAAAGGGAGCTCAGAGAAGCGCTGAATACGCACGAGATGAACAGTCCGGGCATGCCGGGCAGCTTACCCATTATGTCCTGAATGAAGAAGGGCATCATTTTGTCTGGCTTGCTGACCAACTGAAGATTAAATAATATAAAATAGAGGTCCATAAGTCTCTATAACTGCGATCTACTTACGCCGGCGAGCATGGGATCACAGCCGAAGTAGCGAGCAAACATAATGATGCCGGTAAAATAGGTGAGGGTCATGATATTCATGAAACCTAATCCCGCCACAACTAGAGATCTGTTGAACATTTATTTAGACATATGTATGTACATATGTATATTTAATAGTACATATAACTTTCGCTTACTTTTTTGCTTCCTTAAACGAGGGTAACGAGACAATACGCTGAACACAACTCTGATCGACTCCAATTTTACCCGTCCATAGTAACAACCCGCTACTAAAGCAATTCCAGATAGTAGACCGAATCCTGGGATCCAGTCTGAAGCTATAAGTTTAACGCTTATAAAGGTTTTCTTTTTATCCCTTCACCGTCCGTTCTGACACCTACTCAATGTCCATGCGTCCGCCTTCCGAGGCATAATCCAGCACAATGGCCAAGCCCCCAGTTCTCATTGAGCCCAAGATGGCTACCATGATCACCGACATAAGCATTACACCTCCCTGAACAACATCCGTCCAGACGACAGCCTTAACGCCTCCCAACATGGTGTAGAAAACACACACCGAGGAGACAATTATATTGATCAGGTGAATATTTATGCCGGTCACTGTAGAAAAGGGTTGTTAATAAAGAACTTTTAATATTTCTAAAGAAAACAAACACCTTGAGAGAAGGCCAACGAGGGTATGAACATATAGACGGGCAGCGTCAGGAATTGGCTCATAATGAATGTGAGAGTGACGAATCGACGAGTTCCCTTATTGAAACGCATCTCCAAGTACTGAGAGAATAGAGAATATGTATTCAGAAAGATAGATAATCCATTTCCACATACCTCATAGCAATTTACGACGTTGTTGTCGTAGAAGATTGGAACCATAATATATATAAGAATAAACATAGTTGGTAACATGGCTAGCACTCCGAATATGAAGTTAAAGCCAAATGTGTAACTCTCGGCTGGAATAGACATAATCGAGACACCAGACAGTTGGCTGAAATTCAAAGTAATTAGTTAATATGAGTAAAAACAAATTTATGCTAATACTTAAATCAAAATAATTTATACAAAGTTGTTGGAAAGCGAGTTGAAACCTGTTCGAACGGCATGCAAAATCTTGTTGACCAATTTTTCACTGTTGCAGGTGGAATTTTCCATGCGTTGATTTATCAATCATAACAAGAGTATCATATTCAGTTCTCTAGCTCCTATGCAGATTCTTAGTCAGTCAATCATTTGAGTAGGCAGATTTCTAAATATATTAAATGGGTATCAAGCGGGACCACGAACCTGGAGACCAAGGATATGGCAATGGGCAGAGCCTGCATCTTCTTGCCCCCGCGCAGGTATTCGTCGGTGGTGTTCCTTGACTTTGAGTAGAGGCCAAAGTAGAGGCCAATGGCTGCTGAGACACTCAACAGGAGTAGGAATATGGAATAGTCCATTATGCTGAATGTCAACCCCTCCATTTCGGATGTGGCTGCACTGTTGACCATGGTGGCACTGGCTGCACTGGCTGTACTGCCCGGCAGTACGGCTGAGACTTGTTTGCCGAACAAGTCGGTGCAGCTGTGAGCGCTGTCAGCTCAGTTATGAGCATTGAACTCAAAAATTTTCGCTTAAGTAGAGATTATTGATAGTAGCCTATCAGTAGTTAAAATATCAGCTAGACATTGCGCTAAGAGCAACGAGTCCCCGTAAAGTAGAGCCAAAAAGTTGGCTATATCCAAAGGTCATATGAGATGAGAGTCTTCGGACCTATACAAGTGTAAATTACTTTATTATTTAATGAATGAATTGTGAATTTAATCAAATGGTTTATTAAATCTAGTACAAGTTTTGTTTCTAGTAGACCAAAGCCAAAGGTCTCTTACTTGCTTATAAGGAAGACTGTAGAAAGCTGTTAAGATATACCATTATCCTTTATTTCCAAGAAATTTTTCGTTTAAAAAAGTAATGAGACAATGTTCTAAATACAAAACAGTCAGAAAGCGGGTACTAAATAAGTTAGATGTTATTAATACTTATGCGGCTCCGTTTTCCTGTTTCCCTTCTTTGGTTGGGGATTCTTTCAATGGAACCTCCTCCAGCTCCACTTCCGCTTCAGACACATTCAACATATTGCGTACAAACGGCGAATAGAGTTTGGGATTCAGCTTCTCGCTCTTATCCGGACGCCAAATATAGCTTAGGGGCACGGCACACACGAAGATCAGGATTGCGCCTATCATTTTGTACCAATAGAAAGATATATCGAAGATTGAAAACTCCCGATTGCTGTCAAAGGCTGTTGTCACATTCGCAGGCAATGGTATTGCTGTTGTTGTTGCTGGTGTAGTTGTTGTGTGATTTCTGTAAAATAAATGTTCATGAGCATACATATTATATGTGCTATATTACAGCTATATGTATGTTATATAGGAATGTCATGGCATTTACATGGCTGCAAGAATTGCATGGAAGCCTCGCGCCTCGCACTGATNACGCCCATGGCAACCACGACCAGCTTCATGCATCCATTGGCCCGCGCTTCCGTATGCCGTATGTGCGGCTTGATGTAGTCGAAGTAGACGACGCCAGCGAGCGAGTTGAGATTGGCCGAAAGGGAGCTCAGAGAAGCGCTGAATACGCACGAGATGAACAGTCCGGGCATGCCGGGCAGCTTACCCATTATGTCCTGAATGAAGAAGGGCATCATTTTGTCTGGCTTGCTGACCAGCTGGTGGTGATAGATGATGATAAATAGTAAATAGATAAAAGATGAGGATCATAAATCTATTAAAATTCAGTATTCTTACGCCAGCTAACATGGGATCACAGCCGAAGTAGCGAGCAAACATAATGATGCCGGTAAAACAGGTGACGGACATGATAATCATGAAACCGAATCCCGCCACAACTAAAGATCTGTTTAATGAATAGCGAATAAAATATATGTGATATATAGAAATATAAAAAATCGGAGTTTGACTTACTTTTTGGCTTCCTTAAACGACGGCAAGGAGACAATGCGCTGAACACAGCTCTGATCAAGTCCAATTTTACCCGTCCACAGAAGTAAGCCGCTGCCTATGGCATTCCATATAGTAACTCGAATCCTGGGATCCAGTCTAAAGCTATATGGAATTCAATTGAATGTATAGTATATTTAAGAAGCGCTTCACGATCCATTCTTCTTACTCAAAGTTCATACGTCCCCCCTGTGTAGCGTGGTCCAGCACAGTGGCCAAGCCTCCTGTTTCCGTTATACCCAAGACAGCCACCATGATCACCGAGATAAGCATTACAGCAGCCTGGACAACATCCGTCCAGACGACCGCCTTAACGCCTCCCAACATGGTGTAGAAAACACACACCGAGGAGACAATTATATTGATCAGGTGAATATTTACACCGGTCACTGTGGATGAAACGAAAGCAGAGAAATATTTCTAATAAATAACTTTTGCCAAGTCTAAGCACTTACCTTGAGAGAATGCAAGCGAGGGTATGAACATATAGACGGGCAGCATCAGGAATTGGTTCATAATGAATGTGAGAGTGACGAATCGACGAGTTCCCTTATTGAAACGCATCTCCAAGTACTGAGAGAATAGAGAATATGTATATATAATATCAGATAGATATACATATATTATAGATAATAGATAGATAGATAGATAATCCATTTCCACATACCTCATAGCAATTGACGACATTGTTGTCGTAGAACACCGGCACAATAATGTATATAAGGATTGGGATAGTTGGCAACATGGCCAGCACACTGAATATAAAGTTGAAGCCATATGTGTAGTTCTCGGTTGGAACTGACATGATCGCAACTCCAGATAGTTGACTGTTCACAATTATACAATTTTTCAAAATATTGTTTAGATTTTAAAATAAAAGAAATTAAAAGGAAATCAAATTCGCATTTACTTAATGCCTCGAACATTAAGCAAGGACTCGCAAAGTAAACTGTTTAGCTTTACGACTTTTATATTGTTTCTCCACAAGTTCGTCAGTGAGTCAATAATTCATTTAGATAGGGAGATAATTTTATAAAAAAAGAGGCCCGTGCGAATATAAATTTATTGCGTGTAAAAAAAAAAAAAATTTTAAAAATAAATAAATACTGATGTAATATAAAATTGTTCCAAGTAAGATAAGATAGTCTAGCACATTTAATGGCACTGACTGAGATAATAGAACAGTAATAAAAACACTGACTCGCTGACTGGATCTACGAACCTGGAGACCAAGGATATGGCAATGGGCAGCGCCTGCATCTTCTTGCCCCCGCGCAGGTATTCGTCGGTGGTGTTCTTCGACTTGGAGTAGAATCCAAAATAGACGCCAATGGCTGCCGAGATACTTAGCATGATTACGAATATGGAATAGTCCGTGACGCCGAAATTCAAGTCCTCTACAAGAACTGTTGGTGCAGCTGTTGCCGTCGTGCTGGCCAAGGAGGTTGCGCTGTCCGACATCCTGGCTGTTATACCGCTATTATCCTTTAGACTGATTAGCCGTGCAAGCTTGTGCAGATGCGTAAGCTGTCAGCACAGCTATGAGCACTCAAATCAGAAGTTTCACCTTAAGTTCAGAATATGGTAGCTTATCAGTAGCTGAAATATTTGCTAGACACTGGCTGTAAACATTAATGAGTATCCATAAAGTGGACCTAACAGCTTCTACGTATTTAAACGTCCATAGACAGCGTCTTTATATGCTGAATCAGCAGATACGAGTATTTTGGACCAAAATTGTATTTTGAGCTCGTCCCGCTGGTTCTGATAAGACTCTATACGCACTTAAAATTGTTTGCTCTGCGAACCAAATTCTCTGAACGTAAAATGTTTTATACAGTAGCACTTCCTGAGTCTATTACGTAATAGAGGCAACTAAATTGTGTTTGAAAAAAAAAAAAAAGATCCATATCGTCTTGAAGATGTCTATAGCATATATCCAACTACCTTAGCAAAGAGAATTTTTACCATGAAGAAATTCTTGCAATGTGCCTAGCATAATACATATTTTTGGAACTCTCTCTAGTTTTACAGCCCTGAGCAACTAAATCTAAAAAATACCTTTACTTCTAGAAGACATTCTTCCCATTATATCAAGCTGTACATTTTATTGAAATATAATCTCTTTAGTACAAATTTCAATCTCGCAATTGAGCATCAAATTTAACACTGTTTTTCAAATTTAACTCCGAGTCTTCCTTTAGTGGCAACTCCTTGACTCCCTTGAGTGGCAACTCCTCCATTTCCAACACAAGATTTGGTGGTAGGAATCTCCGTACGATGGGCGTGAACAGCTTTGGATTTAGCGATTCGTGTTTGTCCCGCTTACAAATGTAGCTCATGGGCACGGCCCAAAGGAACGTTAAGATCAGACCCAAGAATTTGTACAGGTAAAAGGATATATCAAATATGGAAAAGTCACGATTACTGCCAAAGGCACCTGTCACCAAAGGAGGCACAGTTGGTTTCTCAATTATAGTCACTGGAGTTGTGTTGTTGTTGCTGTGGCTGTGAAAAATTTTGGAAAAATAAGGGAAATATGTGTATAAAACAATATCAAATCAAATGAATGAAAAGGCTGTAATGCTTACATTGCATTCGTATGCAAATTCTTGGCCTCGCATTGGTCCAGGCTATTGGGTAGGATATCATACTTGATGATGCCTGCTTTGAAGTGCATCTGGGACTTGATGATAATGAGTACCATGAAAGCGATGCTAAATAGAATGCCCGATATGGCTGCTTTGCTGGTCACTCGTGGACAGAACATGCCCAATAGGAACGCAGCGCTCACAGCTCCCGTGCTGATGCCCGTGATGCTCAGCACAGTCTGTATTATGGAATTGAAGTGCTGCACCATGAGGCCCCCAAAGACACAGTAAATGCCTATGATGACAATAACCAGCTTCATCGTGGCATTGGCTCGAGCCTCCGTATGCCGTATGAATGGCTTAATGTAATCAAAGTAAACGACGCCAGCGAGCGAATTGAGATTCGCAGAGAGCGTGCTCAGCGCAGCGCTGAAGACGCACGAGATGAAGACGCCGGGCATACCGGGCAGATTACCCATTATGTCCTGAATGAAGAAGGGCATCATTTTGTCAGGTTTGCTGACCAGCTGCGGATGAGATTAGGTAACTTAAATAGGAATAGAATTGAATTAAAGTTTCGAGCTACTCACGCCAGCTAGCATGGGGTCACAGCCGTAATAGCGAGCAAACATAATGATTCCAGTGAAGCTCATAAAGGACATGATTATTACAATTCCGAATCCCGCAATGATGAGAGATCTGAGAAATGTGACTGTGTTAATTCATAAAAGACTTTCGTATTATTGTATAACTTACACTTTGGCATGCGCATACGAGGGTAAAGCTACAATGCGCTGCACGCAGCTCTGATTGAAGCCAATGTGACCCAGCCACATGAGGAACCCTCCCGCGAAGCAATTCCAGACCGTCATGCGTATGCGAGGATCCAGCCTGTAGCTGTAAATCATTTATTGAAGCAAGCAAATATTTAATTAATAAATACAACATAATTAACTAATTTACGAATTATCAGAATTTTTATAATAACTTAATTATAAAATTTGAATTTTGTTTAAAAACAAGTCTTAACAAAAACTTAA